ACTAATAAAACAAACAAAACACTCAACACCTATCTTAGTTTATATCCTAAAGCATGAAAACTAATCTAGATATTCTCTATAACACACTATTTTATTTTCTTTATGTCATACTAAAATGAATAAATGTATATACTGGAGGTAGTGTGATATAATGGAAAGCTAAGCAAACTGAGATTTGAAAATTTCTTCCACTTTATGTCATATGATCTGCTAAAACATGACCAGTCTCAATTTTTCTCATCTCTGAAACAGAGGAAATAATGCCTTCCTTACAGAGTTGTGGAGAGAAAGTGATAATGTGTATAGTATGTTTAGTATGGTATGAGGTATATAATATTGTAGTGAAAAGTTATTGGACAAATCTCACTCACATTATGTGGAGAAAGCTTTATAATTTTAGGAGCTCATCAGTCAGAAAATTGCTCAATGGACTATTTCCAAATGGTATGAAAGTAGAAAGAGGCCTGAGTAATCCAGTCCCATTGGAAAACATCTTGTGGTTGGAACAATCTCTCTACTTAAAGCGAATTCTGTTAGACTAGATGAATCCTCACCTCATGTCACATTAAGCACCTGTAGAACAAAGAGCAGTTCACACCTCACTTTGCAAAATTCTAACACCTATGCTATAAATAGTAAATGGCTCAATTCTCCTTTTTACTATGGTCTTAAAGCAGTGGTAAACTGGTGACCCATGGACAACTGAACCTGTGTAGCCCAAAGGCCCAGCTTCTGAGGTTTTGTTTCATTTTTAGTTGTCAGCATTTTTATAGCAGAGAACAAAATGTGAAACATCTAGAATTCTGGCTTCTCTTAGAAAATTGGAAAAGTTATAAATTGTCAATACATTCTCACATACCACAGACTAGGAGGCCTAAGTAGTGACTGCCTGTTTAGATGAACTATGAACTCTCCAGTTTACCAGTTTGCACCACTCTCTATCGTCTTAGTCCTACTGCCCCTAATTACTTTATATTTACTTCATCTGGTCCTTGCACTATTTGAGTTTTCCAGCCCTGCTTAAGGCTTTTAATAGGCTGCATACAGATCTCAGAGAAACAGCAAAGAGAAAGGATAGGGCAAAACCATCTTCCAAGGAGTACATACTAGACAAAACAATTCTAAATGGGAGATTCTGAATGTAAAGTGTGAATTGGCTGGCACATGGCAAGTATTCCATATGAGCTGATGTTATAGTTAATATTACTATTCCACTGACCTCTATTTAATACTCTAAAGATAATGTCACAGAGTAAACAATGATTAGATGAGATGGGGGTTGGGGGTTTGAACTTAGGGCCTTGCACTGGGTAGGCAGGTGCTCTACCTCTTAAGCAGTACCCCAGCCCTTTTTTGCTTGAATTATTTGGTTAGGGTCTCCCGTTTTTGGCCTGGCTACACTGTGATCCTTGCGACCTATGCCTCCCACATAGATTAGATGACTGGAGCATGTTGCCATGCCCCTCTTATTTGTTGAGGTCTGTTTAGCTTTTTGTCCAGGTTGACCTGAAACCACAGTCCTCCTGTCTCCACCTCCTGAATATCTGGGATTATAGATGTGCATCACTATGTCCCAGAGAAGATTGGTTTGTCTGTTTGTCTGTTTTGGCAGGGGGGAGTACTAGGGTTTGAACTCAGGGCCTTGTGAGCTTGCTAGGCAGGTACTCTAGCACTTGAGCCTAGCCAGACAAGAAGTTTCCAAAAAATAAGAATGAGAGGGACTGCATCATAAGAATTTTGAGATAGATAATGAAACTTCCATACTTAAATATTGCATATTGGTATAAGAATAGGCAAATCCATGGTGTAGAAAAGTCCTGACACAAATTCAGGTATGATATATAAGAACTTAATACATGATGATATTGGTGTTTCATAAGGAAGAAAAGCAGATTAATCACTAACTGATCCTAGGATAAGTGACTAAATCCAAGACAAATTGAAAAATTAAGTATTAACCAAAAATAGGAAAAAAAAAAAAAAAGAAAAAGGAAACCTGTAATGGTCTATGAGGAAAATACAAAGGTATAAATGAGAAAATTATTTGATCTTGAAGTGGGAAAACCTTTCTAAGCATAAAAGTCAAGTAAGAAACCATAAAAGAAAAATTTGAAAGACCTGACAGGAGAAAACAAAAATGACTGCTTATTAAAAAAATATAAAAGAAACTGTGGACATTGCTACAGAATAAGCTGTCACTTATTCTGAGGACTTGCTGGGTTTCATGTCTGTGCTCAGATCACTGCAGACATCATTTTTCTTCATCCTCAAAATAATAAGCACTATAGAAACTTTTATTATCTCTACCTCACAGACAAGGTTTATATATGATCAAACATTACACTGAAATAATATGTTACAAATGTTTTCTCAAAAGCTAATAATAAGTATTTTAATGATAGTAACTATTATATTAGCATGGTGAGATTATGAGTAAAGATTTGTTCTCATCTTGGCTTTTTAAACATCTCTTTAGTACTTTTATATTATGTTTACCATTAGAGAAAACTGATGTCTTTTTTAGAGTTACTTGATTATGTTTGCCACAGCTTTCCTATCTTAGAGTAAATCACTATTGTTAAGCATGAGTAGGAGTTTGTTCATAAAAACTAAATAAAGAAAACAGCAGGGTTGGGGGAGAGTGACAACACTTACTGAGTGCCACCCAAGAACCAGGCATCCTAAGAAACAGGTGATTTACCGATTGTATTGCATTCTTATCTAATGTTCAGTTTCCACTTACAGAGGAAACTGAGACTCAGAGGTTTCACTGGGCTTGGCTAAGGGTTACATTGTTGACAATGAAATACATCATCAAAGTCAGAACTCCTTTTTCCTGTGTGTATGGAAAAAGGAACTTCATATTCAGAATGCAGTGGTTCCTAATGGAAGCAAATGGAGGATGTGAGCTGCCTCTGTTATCATGGTGTCATCTGCAGCTCAGTCCCTAATGGGACCAGGCATAGCGTGCATAACAGCACTAAGAGCACTCTTCTTAGCCCATCTATGTTTTAGAATTTCAGAGGAAAGGTCTCAAGGTCACCTATTTACCACTGCCATGATCCCTGTCATCTTAAATGTTTCAAGCAAGTAGGTTCCCACCAACTCTGAAACATCTCACAGGAAGGAGGTTTAAAACATTCCTCCATAGGAAGCTAATGCTTATGCTCAACCTGTCATGACAGGAGGTTTTCTGATATCTTCCATATGTTGATTTCACTTCAAAGGAAGCACAGGAGACACAGGCACCCCACATGGCCACTCCCACACTTGCATCGCATATGCCAAACAACACTACTGTGTGAGCTTAGAGTTCTCCCTGAACCTTTGCCCACATGTTTCATTTATTACTAATTTATGCTTCCCTTGAACCCTTGAGCATCATGCCTACAAAATGAAGATCCAAAACAGAGAACACCTAATAAGAAAGACTAACACTTCAGAGCTACTGGTAAACTACCAACTAACATTTAGGTTAGGGTATGCTGAAAACCCTAAATTTTTTTTTTCGTGACTGCTTTGACATGATTTTTCTTACTTCAGTATAACAGCACATCTCCTTTGTGAGATTCGTACTTGTAGTTTTATATCACTTTGTTAGTCTTTTTGAATCCAAACAATCACTGATGTAACTAATAATACATTCAGAAAACACCACCTATTGTGCACCACGCATTTTGCTAGTTTCTGGGAAGAAATTAAAAAATAGGATCTCTACCTATAAGAATCTAGAAGACTAATGATAAAAATAAAAAAGTAATAGTCTCAGTTTCATGTGTTTTCATGGACCTTTGTACAGGTGTCATGGAAGCTCGGGGGTGATGAGGGACGAAAGCTAGGAGGTGATGCTCAGGCAGAGAAAGCCCAGTGTTAGAAGTTGTTCCAGGCACAAATGAGAAACTTGGCAAATGGTGTTTGGGGAACTAAGACTAGAAAGTTGGGCTCAACCTGTCTCCCAAAAAATGGATTCAAAATGTAGCCACAATGATCATTAATGTGTGCATCACCTTTCTTTAGAAGGATGACTTGGCCCCAGATCAAATTTTAAAGAATATGAATTTTCAGATTGTTACTAATAATTTTTTAAATGAGTTTCCGAACACTTAAACATCATGGTTAGCAAAAATGTATTTTGCTAATGAAACGTCATACATACTTTATCATATTAGCCACAGAGCCTAAAGTCCAAGCATGCTCAATGCCATGGCCACAGGACTATTATCCTTTGACCATCCTGCAGTGCAGTGCTCAGAGGAAGTGGTGAGAAAGTCAATAACTTAGAGGTAAATGGTGAGAAAGTCAATTCTCCTTGGCTTATTAGATGAGGGCATCAATACATTAGAAATGATTTTCAGGGAATGGAAAAAGAGCAAAAAAAAAAAAGGAAAGGTGAGAAGAATCATCCATAGTGAGTCCTATGTGCACAGATACAGAAGGACAGAGCCCAACTGACTCCTCTTAAGAACTACAGTATCAACTAGCAGTATGTCTTTAGTATTAACTCCTCCAGTCAACATTAGAAACAGCACTTATATTTCTCAGACCAATCGCAGTGCTTAGGAATTGGACAAAAAAACAAAAAAAAAAGCAGCAGAGGGCACACACTGGTTTTGAATGCTAGTAGACAATTGCAAAAAACAGCAAATATCACACAGCTTTACACTAAACTGAAGCTTTCAAATGGCATTTAAAATAATTCAAGAATGATAGCTAGAGTGGACAGATTCTTAGGGAAAGTAAACAAAGAAAGGATGTGAATTAATAGATAAGAGGTAAATGCCTTTCCAGAAAGATAAACACTAAACATGTTTTATCCATATATTAAAATTAAAAGTAATATAATTATGAGTCAGTAATGACATTAATTTTTAAAATAATAGAATTAAATGACATATTTGATCAAGGTACAATGTATAATACCATAAACATAACATATAACACCTTTCACTTAAATTTGATTATTATTGTTGTTATTTTTGCTTTAGCTATTTTTTAGATAGGGGTCTTGGAGTTTTGTCAGGGACTGGTTTTGGACTATGAGTACAGCCATGACTCACCACCACCACACCTGGTACGTTGAGTTGGAGTTCTCACTAACTTTTTGCCTGGGAGAACCTTGAAACTTAATCCTCCTAATCTCCACCTCCCGAGCAGCTGGAATTACAATGTGAGGCACTGCACTCAAAAGGAGAAACAACAAACTTATCTTTGAAAGTGAAAGTTACACATAAAAATCTTACCTGATTTAAATAATTGAGGCACTTTTCAAGACACCAAAGGCAACAAATGCAAGATTTCAACACACATCGTGCACAAGCATTTTCCTGGACAAAAGAAAACAAAAGGACAATCATTAAAAAAAAAAATCAAATAATCATGCAGAAGTCTTCAAATCTTGGGAAAATAAATAAAAATGTAAAAATCACAACTTCTGTTTCAAATACCACACTCTTTTCCTCTTAAAATATAATGGCTGAATTATTTTTAATTGGTTCAAGTCAACATTTATTCAGTACCTATTGCTTATATAATTCAGTAAGTCATGTAAAACCAGCAAGGAACTTATAATCTAATGGGGAAAAATGCTAAACATAAAGAGAGTTAGAATCAGAAAGAGGTATAGCTACTAAGTGTTATGAAAGTAGAGAATGGAGAGAGATAATGAGGAGATGGAGGGGTCAGGAAGGTTTCTAAGAAGAGGTGGCCTCTGAGCTAAACTATGTTGACATCCATGTCATTTCCACAGTCAACAGTGAGGAATTCCTCATATATTCTGGATATTAACCCCTTGTAAGATGCAAAGTCTACACATATTTTCTTGTCTTGTCTCTTCAATCTAACAACTGTTTCCTTTGCTGTAAAGAAGGCTTTTAGTTTGACATAAACCCCTTTATCAATTTTTGCTTTTGTTGTTCATGCTTTTGGAGTCTTATCAAAAAACTGCCCAGACTAACGGCATGGCGTATTTCCCCTGTTTTTCTAGTAGAGATGGTTAGTGGTTATAAAGTTATTGTCAGGCAGGAAGACTAACTTCTGTTGCTAACAATTCTGTACTGGATATTTTTAAAAAGCTAGAAGAGGATTTTGAATGTTCTTATCACAAAGAAATGATAAATACATGAGACTTGGATATGTTAAATACCTTCACTCGATTATTACATAATGTATACATGTACCACTGTACCCCATAAATATGTGCAATTATGTCAATGAAAAGCAAAATTAAAAAAAAGAGAACAGGGGAGAGGTTCTAAGAAGGAAGGTATGTGGGTCAATACAAGAGAAGTGAAGGACATTGTTAGTGCCCAGTGATTAGATGAATTTTTCCATAGCTTATGGGGGTGCATGAGTGGGAGACAAGGAGGGAGGACCATATCCCACATTATTAAGACTGAAGAAGACACTCATGACTTTTCATTTAATATCACTGAGTAATTGAGTAATTACTACATGTAGAACTGAGGTCTGGAATGTGCCCCAAGAAAGTCCAGAAAAGCATTTCCCCTTACCTTTCCTTTGAGCTGACTGTGGATGTACATAAGGATCATTCGTGGAATTTTGACTAATGTGATAATGAAAGATCCTTTTGCCACAGTACCAAGGTGATAACGAATAAGGCGATTCACTGATGCCAAGATAGGTGTAAATGGCAAATTCCTTTTATCCCTATTTAAAAATGACCAAAAAGATAATCAAAACAAAGCATAGACCAGTATGCAAACAACCATAGTTTAGAGTCCCATGCAGTGAAACATCAGCTTATTGTTCTTATTCTAGTTGTATAATTAACACAAATGCTCTGGATGTTTACTGTTTCATTTCTCTATTGTTGTATCATGGGGTCCTTAAGTTAAATAAAACTACTTTGAAACTTCTGATTAGTGACTACTTAAGGAGTTAATTGTACAATCAGAAAACAGAATTCAAAAAGATGTTTAATCTAGACCTGGCTCCTCACTAATAGAAAACCATACAACCTATAACTTTAATGGTCAGCCCTGAAGTTAGCAAAGGGACTCCCAATAGTTTTGACCCAAACAAAAGAGGCTTGTGGTCCTTCATGGACTTTTTATATAAAGCAAAAGTACACAGGGCACTACTGCCAGGTTTACTTTTCTACTAAATATAATGGAAGTTATATCATGATCAGTTGTCCTGAAAAAAAATTTTTCAGACAATTACAGAAAAGAATAAAGAACAGAATAATAACTGCATTTTCTCACCTTCCAGAATTAACACTCATTTCCCAACCGTTTTTCTTAAAGAAATGAATGTCAGCAGCCTGAGTTCATTCCCTTCCCCTCCACTCTGTTGACACAATCATGTGAATGAACTTGTGTTTTCTGACAGCACAAACTCTCACCTGGTGAAGTAATATGTCACCACCGCCCCAGCCACAGTCATTTGTTGGCACGCTAGAATGAATTCGCTGATCCAGATCAGGCCGACTACATGATACCACCACATGTACTGCAGGGGCCCAGAAATCTTGAACTCCACAAAGCCTTGCTCATTCTGAACAGCACTGCCTGGGAAAATGTCAAGGAGTGAAAGCAGCAGCACATAAGAGATGGACAAAAAAAAAAAAATACAGCTATGAAATATAAGAAATTAGTCTAATTTCCAGCTCCCAAACTACAAATTTCATGCTCTTTGTGCTATGTCATTAAGGACAAAATTAATTATCACTAAAAAAGTTATGAAGTGAAACATTATACAATTACATATTTTGATCTCCCCAAAATATACCATAAAAAGCTTTGAAAAGTTACTCTATTTGAATATAGTTCTTATTACATTATCTGCTATTTAGGCATGAATTTTCAAACAGTTCAATTTATTTTCAGGACTACTACTTATCCAGTATCACAGACCTAAACTATTAGCTCAGTATGGAAATTGATGTTGTATTTGTTTGGTATATGTGCTGAATGGACAGAGAGCTGCATACAAGTTTACTCATCTTCTACTACTTATAATTAATTCTACTTAGGCTCACCCTTTGTATTGAGAATGGCTAACAGGAAGCTGGAGAGTCTAACTATGAACCGTGTCATCTGTAGGAGCTTTAGTTAGGTTCAGGATATTTCCAAACTGGAAAATCCCAAGAAGCAAGTTCATCCCGGACTATAACTGGACTTTGAAGCAGCTCTACAGAGGCTCTGGATGCATTAGTTCATTCTTGGAATTGATCAAAATGTCAGAGTCAGCACAGAACCCAAATCCATGACTGTCTCACAATTAGGAATCAATTTTAGTCCTGCTAGATCTCATGGCTATTGGATCTTTGTCCACAAACATGAAGAATTATCTCTCTCTGATTGTGTGTGTGTGTGTGTGTGTGTGTGTGTGTGTGGTGCTGAGTATTAAACCTAGAGTCCTCACGCATGCTAAGCAAGCTCTCTACCACTGAGGTGTACCCTACTCCTTTCTGAGGTTTTAAAATATTTGAGTGTAAATTAGATTTATCACTAAGGTAAAGAAGCAATGTATCTTCTTACCAGTAGTGCCAAGAAAAAGAAGTGTCATGATCCAGTATGCCCAAAACAAGACAAGAGCAAAGAAAGTCCAAAATGGTTGGAAGACTAGCAGTGGCAAGTGAATGAAGACCTTGCCAGCCACATGGAACAAGGCAATGGTGAGGGCCACTCGTTTACGCATAACCAGCATTATCAGGAACAAGATAACCTGAATGGAGAGGGTAGACAGAAAGGGTTCTGTTATCATCCCAAGCAGTGAAAACAAACCCAAAGTGGTGGGTTTCAACCCCAAACCTGGAAGGGTCATTCTCTGAATCTCAATAACACTTGTAGACTGTATTTATCATTTTCAATTATATTGTGGTTATTAAGTGGACTTTAAAGTTATACATAAAAGAATTTCTCAATTTATTAAGTCCTTGAATTCTTCTACTTTTTTGTTCACTGACCATTGCTGATCAAAATGTGTTATTTGTCAGACAGGACAAGACAGTCTATTTGAAAATACATGCTTGTCACTCAGAGAAAGTTTCAGAGAGACATCACCCCAAAAGCATAGGAGATAATTTTATCTCATCTTCATGATTGAATCAATAACTCAGTAGGGTCCCTGCAGATTCACCCTGTGCCTCCTCTCCATCACCATTCCCCACACCCTGAAGTTGTCACAGAGAAGTGTATTTAAAGACTGAGTAACAGGGCCATGCACGGTGGCTCATTTCTGTAATTCCAGTTACTCAGTAGGTGTAAGTAAGAGGATCACTGCCCCAGGCTAGCCTGGAGAAAAAAAAAAACAAGACTCTCTGAAAAATAACCAAAAAGCAAATAAGGGCTGGAGGCATGGCTCAAACAGTAGCTCCGAGTTTGAACCCAGTACCACCATCACAAAAGAAAAAATAAAAGCATGGTTAGCAAATATCTTTGGACCCCACAATTTTATGGTGACTTTATGTATGTATGTATGTATGTTATGTATGTATTTATAGATACTCAAAAAAAACTTGTGATTGCTCCTAGAAATGGACTGAGTTTTTCTGTCTTCAGAGAGATGATGGTGAACTGAAGATATGAATATAGCTTACTTAACCACATGCTAATTAATAATTTTACCATATAATACCTAAGCAATGGCACTCACCTATGTTTCAGACATAGTACTCATGGCTAAAAGATATGTTTGAAAGAAAATTATGAGAAAATAATTATCACATAAGTAAGTGGAATGATATATTTCCTAACATACAATTCTACAGTAATGAGAATTGTTTTTTAAAAGTGACATGACAAGAAGAAATATGTTGTTATAAGAAAATAATAATGTAAATATTCTAGATGAAAATCTTGTATCAAAAAACAAATAGGGGGCTTGGATGTGGTGGTTCATACCTGTAATCCCAGCTCAGCTACTTAGGAGGTGGAGATTGGGAAAATTGTGGTTTGAGGTCACCCTGGGCAAAAAGTTAGTGAGACCCCCATCTCAACAAACAAGTTGGGTATGGTGGTGCATGTCTTTAATCCCAACTATGCAGAAGGTACAGAGGAGGATCACCGTAAGAGGCTGGTCCCAGGCAAAAATATGAGACTCTATCTGAAAAATAACTAAAGCAAAAATGGGTTGAGGGCATGACTCAAGTAGTGCGCCTGCCTTGAAAGTGCAAGGCTCTGAGTTCAAGCCCTAATATTTCTAAAAAAGAAGCAGATAGGGCAGCAGGAGAGCAAGCTGTTGCCTCAAAGCATCCATCAATTAGGGAAGCCTCCAGCAGACTCTGAAGTGTATTGTCACACTGCAGGGCAGTGATTTTATCCAATGGAATCTGCTCCATTAATGATATCCTGATAAACCTGAGCATGTACTCACAGTGAACACTGTGGCTGAAATAGCATAGATGAGGAGGGCTCGGAGATTGTCTTCAGCAATCTGAAGCTGTTCAGGAATAACTGTTTCTTTGGGAGACATTCTTTGTTTTGCATAGAGCCACCACAGTACACCTGTGCCACCTAGAGACAACAACAACAAAAGTTTTTGCAATAACCAGTACAACAAAATATGTGGCATAAGTCCTTCATTTTCTGGACCTACCCTAATCATCATGGGACTGAAGCAGTGACAATCCGCTTAGCTGGAGGGATGTGGACATAACTTTTTGGCAGCATAAGGGGAATGTCAGTTACTCCATTATTGTCTTTCACATGAAGTGCTTAACAAATCCTTCAGTATATGAAATAAACTTCCTTCAAAGGTATTTATCATTGACTATGAAGCTGAAAGACTGCCAGGAACAATGCACAGCTAGCTTTGGGAGGAGTTGGGAACCCCAATGCCTAGTGCATGACACAGAGTCATGCAATTGGTTAAATATTTGCCCAATAAATGAAGACTCAAAGGAGTAGTTCCCACCAAAGGTAAGAACAAAGACAAGAAATCTCTGATAGCAGGGGTAGTAGGGACATGTATTTTTGTCTCCGATAATGTTTCAGAGATGGAGAGAACCAGGAAAACTTGCCTCCATATAAGAAAGCTGGATTATCTATCTTCATTCAATCCATTCAGCAAACATTTTAAGTGCCTATATAGCATTTGTCTGCCTGGGGAAGGGGCAGTAAACGAAATCAAGAGCCACTCCTACTGCTCATTGAGCTTATATAGTAATGGGGGAGAAATAAGGAAACAAGTAAAATGTAGTATATTTAATCTAAGGGGTAATTCTAGTTAGAAGGATACTGCTTGGTTTAGGAAGGCATTGCATAATTGTATAAGGCACTAGGAAGATGATGTCTCAGCAAGAAAATAAAAAGAGAGAGAGAGAGAGAGAGGGACGGAGGGAAAGAGAGAGAGAGAGAGAGGGAGAGAGAAACTCCATGAAACTATCTAAGGAAAAAGAGAAACAGGTAAAGTTCTAGGATGCCAAGGTGGGGTGGTGCCTAGGGTGGGAGAAAGAAGATCCCTGTAGCCCAGCAGTGAGCAAAGAGGGAAGTCGTAGGAGATGTGGGTAGAGAGGTATCTGGGGAGCAGATCATCCGTTAGGCTTTGTAGGTCACAGTAAGGAAGATTCAGGGTAGAACTGCTTGTGTAGGCTGCATAAGATAAATGCCCGGGACGTAAGACTGGGCTAAGATCTATGCACATCAACCTGACCTCCATCTGAACTCAAGTGAAGGATGAACAGGTCAGAGGGAGAGTCCATATCCATCTGTTGGCAAATAGCAAGATGAGTAAAAGAAGTCAAAATAATCGAATATTCTGAAAAATGTATCTTTCCTTTTTGAAATCTTGAGGGTAGAAGAAAATTATTTGGAAAGCTGCTTAATACATTGAAAAAATGGAAAAAAGTAATGTTCTCTCCAAACAGAAGTACAAAGTTATAAAAAAATATGAATTTTGAGGAAAATAAAATGAGATAACAATGATAACATTGCACGTTGGTCACAATAGCCACAGCAGACATCATGTATTATATGTTTGGACCTGTGCTAGGAACTATGCTAATCTTTTTATAGTTCTGACCCAATTTAATCGCCACAGCACAAATGGCTGCTCTCAACTCACTTTACAAGTGATAAAAATGAAATTTAGAAAAGTTAAGTAACATGGGAAATGTCACATATGTAGTTAAGTAGCAGAACTATATTCAGATCTAGATGTATTACAAAAGCTATCCATACAGACACAGAATTAGATGCTATGGGTATAAAGCTGAACTGAAAAGAAAGATGCTCCGGAGAAGGAAGAGCTACAAATACAATGAAACTGAAAGAACAAAATTTAGATCCTATCATAGGTAGTCAGTTACTGACAGTGAGTAAAAATAAAGTTGAAGGCTCTTCCCTAATGTAAAAGAAAATGAGAAAAACAATGAAAGGATAATTTAGAAGATTATAGTTAAAGAATAAACAAAAACTTTAAAAGAAAAAGGTCACTAGAACAAAACAATAATCAAATACAAAAATAAAGAAAACAATTCAGAGTTGAACAAGCACCTCACATAAAAGATCATAGGCAAACTTAAGATCCAGAATTAGATTAAAGCATCTTTAAGTTATAAGGCTATATGAAAAATCATACAAATATCTAGGTATATGGGTAAGGGAACAAAAGTAAAACTTGTCTCTGAGTTCTTCTCTGAAGTAAGAGTATAGACACAGGGCGTACATTGTCTCGGAAGAGTTTATACCCAATGAATCCAAAATTCACATTGAAGACAAAGATAATTCTCAATTAACAAGAGTTAGGCAAATGTGTATTCCATAGGTCCTTCATGAAAAATGACTTAACTTCAGTCAGCAGAAAGACGAACCAAATTAAGAATTAAAAAATGAAGGCTTATGGTAAAAGGACCATACTAAAACTAGTCCAGGAAAACTTAAAGGTAAATATAATTCTGAAACTTTTCAAGGCAAAGGTAAACACATGCATATGACAATATTTTAACTTTAATAGTAACACGAATACAAATGCTTCTTTGTTTCCCCTCCCCCTCAACTCTTTCTTTGGTACTAGGGTTTGAACTCAGGGTCTCAGACTTGCTAGGCATATGCTCTACAGCTTGACCCTTGTCCCCAGACCTTTTTTTGCTTTAGTTACTTTTCTTACTGGGTCTTGCATCTTTTGCCTGGGCCTACCTGGCTGATTTCTTTTTTTTTAAAATAAGACTGAGAAGTGAGTGTGAGGAGCAGGGAGTAAGAGATAAAAGAGAAAGGTAGTAGTGCTAAATTTTTAAAAGATAGGGAAAAACTTAACACATATGATTTCTGCCTTTAATAATCACAGAATTCTAGATTATTTTCTAAATACATATAGGTTATCAACTGTAAAATACAATGTATGTCATCCACAGCAAGGGTGAAGATAGTCAAATAATGCAATTTACATAGAAAAGATACAGGAAACAAAATACAAAAGCATAAATTTCAGGAAAACATAAACCAGGACAATAGTAAAACTAAACCACCAAATAAGATTTTAAATGTAAATGGAGGCACATCCCATTACTATAAGAATTCCACATTCAGCTTAACAAATTTAACTAAGTAATGTACACTCACATACATATGCATAGAAAAAAGTTCTGGACTTCAAATACTAACCATTATGAAATGAGTAGGGGGTAATATAATCATTGAAATTCTTAAGGCAAAACTAAAACAAAAATTTGCATTTTCTTCTTTATATTCCCATTTGCTAGGATGGAATTAGACACCATGAAAACAAAAAAGTAATAGCTTACCAAGTGAACCCAGTATGACCAGAATTGTTAAGATCCAGACAAGTACTCTTGATATATACCTGATTACCACCATCAGAATCATGGATAGAACTGCAGGGAAGGGAAACAGAGAACAGGTAGAGTATTATTTGAAAACATATCAGAACATAAAGAGTAACCCTTTCCATTGTTCTTTCTTCCCCCGGGGAAATAATTTGTTGTTATTGACTAGTTCATGACCACAATTTAGGGAAGAAAAGAAACTGACTGCTCTTGCAGTTTGATTTTACTACTTGTACCACTTAAATAGCATCAATGGAAACCAAAGGTACCTAACTGTGTGGTTTATCCACTACAGAGAGAAGACATGCAAATGCAAATGGTGACTCAAAAACAGCACGGGACTGTTGTGGACCCACCATGGGGAGGACATCAGACATGCAAACACACATCTAGCACACAGCATAGCAAATGACATGTCATGTTGGTGACAAGAAAAATTATCACATAGTGACAGACATCAGTTTAATTAGTGCTACACTGCCTTGAGTCATCTATGCATTTCAGGACCAACATCTCTGATGGTCAGTCAACAAACTTCTATCTTTATCAGACACTTTTATCTTAAACTCCAGAACTCCCTGGGAGAACCTGACACTATAGGATAACTTCCTGAAGCCTACTGAGGCCAATATCCCTCTAACCTAATTTCTTAATGGATTGGAAAGTCCTTCCTCAAAAATGAGCAAAGCTTAGTTTGAGTTAGCCAGCTCCTTCACTTGCCCAAACTTAATCCCAATGTGCTAAAATTGAGAGTAAAACTCTCAAGAGAGAGGATTCCACTCTTGTATGGGACATACATTTATAAAATAATTTGTAAATGTTTAATGATTTAAAGGCTTATTCCACAAACAAATGAATTAAGATAGTTTGGATTTATGTTACATTTTTTGGTGGGGAAAGAGGACAATACTGGGGTTTGAACTCAGGGAATTTCTACCACTTGAGCCATGCTCCCAGCCCTTTTTGATTTAGTTAATTTTCAGATAGGGTCTTGCACTTTTTGCCCTGGCCAGCCTTGGACTATGATCCTCCTACCTTTGGCATAACTGGGATTACATGTGTACACCACCATGCACAGAATGCTATATTCTTAAGCCTCAAAAAAGAATCTTTGTAATAAAAATTGGAATTTCAATGAATTCACAGCATTGTTGTCACTATTTTTAAGGTTTGGACTTTATTTTTAGTTAAAGCATTCAACTATTTCAGAAACCAAGTAACTTTTATATAAAGTTAGACTAATAGTCAAATGTTTGGGGACCATTTGCAAAGCCAAATAAATGTTTAGGATCTGTGTCTAGTAATATTATTAAGGTACTCACTTTTGCAATAAATGTACAGGAACGAAAAACAGATGGGAGCCCTTCAAATACCACAGAATTAGATTTTCATATGGGCAGCATTATTTCAATTGACTCAAGTACTACCTAAGCAAAAAGAAAATACTCTCTAATGACAAGAAAGACGAAAATACAGCTTGTATCTTTTCAATGACTATAATTTCTGTTAATATGCATAAATACTACCAGTTTACTTCTCCAAACTAAGAAGATCACTAAACTCTGATATGCCCACATCTGGTTCTAAAATAACACATGGAGTTTTTATCTTGAGAATAAAAATTTTGTTTGATTATACTATCTATTTATTGAGTAGAAAATTCGGTGGCTAACAAGTGGAGATTTCCTAGTTTTTTCCAGCAATACAGTGATATTATGAACTGTAGCAATGAAAATTATGAAATTCAAAAGTAATCTACCAAAATCTATACGTTCTTAGACAAAAAATATGAGAATATGTGGCCTCTTTTCTAAGTAAACCTACCTTTGGGAATCATAACTAAAAACAGAGGGTTATTGGTTCATTAAAAGAAGTCTCCTGCTATTATATGAAAGGTAATCATAGACGTAGTAACCAAAGTTTGGGAAAACATCAGGTTTCTCCAACGAAAGAAAAAAAAGAAGGGAAATGAGTTTCAGATATATCTACATACTTTTCTGTGCATATTTATAACTACATATAATCTGAAACAATTATTTTGGTTATGGGAAGTTATACATTTTACAAGTATCCCCAGTTGTATTTATATTTCAGTTAAAAGACAGAATGGTCTTCTACTGCAGTTCTATGCAATAGCTAATAATGAGAAAAACAATTACCTAGTGATAACAAGCAAAGTCCCAATATAATCTCTTTGCTGGTCATTACTCCACTAATCAGCCTGTGTAAGACACTATTGTCACTGACAAAGGTGATCAGGGCCTCTGCAAACTTGGCATAGCAGGAAATGTTCACAGGAGCACAGCGATGGAAGAATGGAATAGGTGCACTGGTGACACAAGAAAAAAAAATCAGAAAAAAAAATTACTCCTACTTAATATAAATGCCACATCAAACACACAAATGAAAGGTGAATATGGCTGCAATACACTCCACCCTCCACACATCATTATGGGAGCTCAGAGTTGTGTGTTTAATGCTATGAAGATGACTGTTATGGGGAGTGATGCACATCTTACCACAAGCCTTATCAGAGAGGGTGGAGTGCATGTTCCAAAAGAAGACATTACCCTCCCCTTCTGAAAAGAAATGCACACATACACATACACACAGAACTATGAGAAGCAAAACCAAACACTTAAAGTCCTCAGCCTGCACATCTGCCAGTCAGAAGACAGATGGCAAAGCCTACAAACATATACTTCACTGAACTAAAAATGAACTTTTGCCAAAGCAAGTTAAAAGTAAAAAAACAAAAAAACATGCTTTTTCATGTGAAATTTGCCACTATTTATAGAATATTTCCTCTAACAAAACAGCATACAAAACCTCAAATTAATAAAGGTGTTTAGGGCACACATTTAATACCCCTCATATAAATGGTCATACCAAAACATTAACATACAGAATAATATGCAGTTACTTAAAACAATAACCATGAGTACTAATATATGGACATGCTTATAATGTAATAATACAACAGGAAAAATAATATCTGAAGTGATGGTGACATCTCCGAAGAAAAGATTACACAGAAGAAGGGCTGGGGATATAGCTCAGAAGCAAAGTGCTTGCCTAGCATGTGCAAGGCCCTGAGTTTGATTCCCAGCACTAGAAAGAGAGAGAGAAAGACAAAGACACACACACACACACACACACACACACACACACAGAGAGAGAGAGAGAGAGAGAGAGAGAGAGAGAGATTATAAGAATGGAAACAGAAAAAGAATATTAAAAAAGTAAAAAATAATCTAATTTATTAGAGTCATAGGGCTTGGGACTATTTTCTTTTCTTTCATATGTTACTAATAATCCAAGATTTTATGTGTCTATATAAAAGAGAAAATAATCAATTATTTAAATTCAAGTGTACATGGACTGCAGCTTTGACCTGTGAAGCAACATAGCTGTATATGAGCTACAACATAAATCTGGTTTGTAATACATAGTTCTGAGAAGACAACACAGATCCAAACAATGAGACCGTTAAACAAAGGACTGGGATATGCCTTCGGTTGCGATCTGGCAAGGTTCTAGGGGAGCCCATGTATATGTCCATATGCTACTGTACACTAATTGTGAATTAAGTTAGAATTTGGCCACCATTAATGTGAACCCCACATTTTCCGGGTTGTGTGTGGGACTATCAGTGGTGGGTCTAACATAACATACTTGACCAGAATGATGTACGTGTTTTTATTCTTGGTTGGCACTATATATTTAGTCCAATTAGTAAATAAGATTACAATGGTTGGGCACCAAATTCTAAGGTTTCTAATCTCAGCAAAACAACTTTGTATGACCTGAAACATTATCTTTGTTTCCATCCTCAGAAAATAGTAGTTTTCAAAAAAGAATGAGTGAACTATGTATTGTTTTTTATTAAATGTTAATAAATGAACACCAATGGCAGTAAGAATAAGCAACATCTTCCATGCTTCATGAATTAAAATCATTTTAAACATGTTACCTTAGTCATGCTTCAGGAAAATATATCCAACAATGATGAGGTAATACTGATATGAGTATTCTTTTTGAAAAACTATCCCTGGTTGTGTATTTGTGTATACTTCCATAATGGTGTTAGTAAAAGTTAATGATAAAGATCTGACATGCTATTAGAAAGTACAGAAAGCCAGAGCATTCTGAGTGATGCTTGACTTATGGTTTATGAGTCATTGTTTTTTCATCAAAACTTGTTTTGTAAAGGGTATTAAATTACAGAAAACTTCTTTTTGGTGGTAGTAGGTTTTGAACTCAAGGCCTCGTGGTTGCTAGGCAAGTGCTGTTGAGCCACACCCACAGCACTTTTTTGATTTTAGTTATTTTCAAGATAAGGTCTGTGTTTTTGCCTGGAACTGGCTTCAGACTGCAGTCCTCCTACTTATGCTTCTTATGTAGCTGAGATGACAGGCTCACACCAACATGCTCAAGTTGTTGATTGAGATGGGGTCTCACTAACTTTTTGCCTCGCTTCAAACCATGATCCTCCCAATCTCTGCTTCCCAAGTAGTTGAGATTATAGGCCTGTACTACCATACCCAGTCCTACAGAACACTTTTAAATGAAATGGATTTTGTTAGAAATATCACAAAACCCAAGAAGGATTAGCTACAAATTTCTAAGTCAATGCAGACTGATTTGACAACTTTATTGTGACTTACAGTTTTCTTTTTGTTATCTAGTGCTTTCTCAGCCAAGTTAATGTCTTTGTCTAAGGACCTTTCTAATTACATTTTGTTTTCTAAAGCCTGACTATCTCCAAAGGTAAAATCATCTCTGCTCCAAAATTACCTACAGCTTCTTCCTCTCTGTAGATTATTCCTATCATCTCTGATGCAGCCTCTGTGTAACTAACTTGTCTTAGACCTGAATGGAGAGTACATCCACCTTAAGGATACTGCCATCTTTGTCTTATTCGTAGTAATTTTCTTGGCCCTGCTCACTCATTGTGTTTTCCTGTCTGATACCAGTGAAAACCCCAATTGTCCTAACACTGCACAGCTGCATGTCACTCTTCCTGCTCAATTTTGCCATCTGCTAGATGGAAGGGGAAGGGCAGTACTCTGTGTCTCTTCAGATCACCGCCACCATCATCAAAGGACCCACCCCCAAGTCACCGACTCCAAATTATATAGCATCGGCATAACTAGGATCTTCAGTGTTTCCTGCTTTTCAAATTCAGGATGAGAGTAGTTGATTTGAAAATGAACGATTATACTCACAAAATTCTAATCCTTCATTTCTGTTAAGGGGGAAATGCTGAGTAATATCTGCTCTGAATTAACCCTTTCAACTCACTTTTCTATTATATATAAACACTTGGCCAATTGTAAAGAGTACTTTTGTAAGTACTCTTCAAAAATAACAATCCTTTACTGTATAATTCAATCTCTGGCAGTTTTTTAAAAATGCTTTTTTGGCGATACTGGGCTTTGAACTCAGGGCTTCATGCTTGCTTGGCAAGTGTTCTAGCATCACTTGATCCACAGCCCTTCAGCACTGAATTTAAAGGTACAAAATTTGCACAAGCTGATTAACTACATTGTCTAGTTGATAGTCAAACTCTGCTCTTAGTTATACCAAATAACTGAAGTAGAAGGCAAATAAAAGAAGAGATTACATGAACACATTCAAAATAAAATTAAACACAGCTTTAAAAAAAAGCACTAGACTCCCTTGTTTGTCATTCTTTCTCTCAACTCTTCCCCAAGCAAAAACAACCCTATCAGGCATGGGGTTTTGATATTTGAGTTCTTTTTTCTTCTTTTTTATTTTACTAGTATTTATTTTTTGGATGCTGGTGATTGAACCCAGGGCCTTGTTCATGCTAAGCATACACTCTGCCACTGAGCTATGTATTCCCAGGCCCTTGAATTATTTTACTTTAAAAAATGTAAGCAATCATGGCACTGGAATGGTTTGTTTTATATTTTACTATTTAAATCCCATTTGAGATAATGACTTTAAGATGAATGAGCTCATCTTCATATACCTCTGAGAAAATATTTCTGAGAACTAGTATATGAGATCGTTTCTACTTTAGTGTCTAACCTAAATGACACAGTCTGTGCTTCTTAATTAAGAGGATAAGCATCAAGTATTCTATTTACAGTATGCTTTTCTACCTTTCAAAAACCCAGAGAACATTGAATCTTGAAGAAGTCAATGTGATCCCATTAGGAAGTGATTCTGTTTCGTGTTATTGAAACATTAGTCCACAAGAACAAAATGAATTTATAACGAATCTTTTAAAGATTTAAAAAAATTAGCACTCATAGCAAATTGTGTCTTGCCTTGGCAAGCATACTGTCCACTTGCCTTTAAGTACAGATTATCACATTAAAAAAGACCCCTAAACTATAATGTCAAGCACTGCTTAATACCTTTTCACCACATAATCTTCACAAGAGAAGGTAGTGGTCTGTATCTCATATAATTATTTTAGAGCCTCAGGTTAAAAAGAAACAACTACAAATGATTTCTAGCTAAAAGTTTTATTTAAGAAAGATTATGAATAAAGGGTTACAGCAGGAGCCCTATAATATACAACAGGCAGGAAATAAGTAAGTCAAGGAAACAAGACTCTAATAGCAATATAGAGTGGTTTTCACACATTATTTTTCTCTCTTCTTTCACTTCTGTGTGCCTTACAAAACAAACAAACAAAAAACCCCAACTGTGTGTGTTAAAGATTTGATAAGGATTCTGATTCACAGAAATTAGTTGTTTGGTCTTGGGTAACTTATCCATTCTCATCTTGCAATTCCTCACCTACAAATGAGGGACAATATCTATATGGGTTTTGCAATGGTTAAGTGAGATAATACACATAAATGAGAAATTTGGTATGTCAGCTGGCACACAGTAGACGATTTGTAAATATTAACTTACCATTGAATCCTCCCTTTAAAAATATAAATAAGTAATACATTTTTCTCATTTCATATCATATTATAATTCTATAGCACTCAGCAACCTTTTGGGCATCCAGAGGAACCCAAATAATGAGTAAACCGAATTTATATAATCTGTTTCTACAGTAAAAACTGCTCTGGCTGTTTATATCAGCATTTAAGCATATGGGTTGGCTATTCCTTAAACTTACTACCATGCTGGGCATTTCATCGACAGAAAATTATGAATTTAGATAAAGTATTGCCCTTCCTATGTATTTGTTTTTAAAATTCAAAAGCTTTTAGGAATAGTAGCCATGTGGCTATTATGTATCATTAATGTTTTGTTGCTTATTAGTTTACAAGTGCTTCTCTAATACAGGTTCTGACTTCAGCTGCAGGTCTCTGGGTACCCAGGTAAGTGAGCAGAAAGGAAAAGGTTCTAGAACTTGAGAGACATATTTCCTATGCTAGTGTCCATAGTTATTTATTTAACATTTTATCTTACTTAATGGGTATTTAACATGTTATCTTACTTAAGCCTTAAGACAAATCTGTAAGTAGGAATATTCCTGTTGTACACATAAGGAAACTTGGTTTACACAGAGGTTAAGAGACTTGTTTAAGCTGACAAATAGAATCAGGTAGCTGTTCACTCCCAGACTTATCTAGATTCCAAGTTCATGCGCCTATGTCTGCTACTAGGATGCTCCAAGGAAGACAAGAAAAGAGATGAGGGCTCACAGTTTTTCTTGGTGCTGATCTTTTGGTATTAAAAAAAAATTAACAAGGGCCAGGCATGGTAGTACATACTTATAATCCCAGCTACTCAGGAGGCAGAGACAGGAGGATTATGGGCTCAAGTCCATTCTGAACAGAAGGTACAAGACCCAATCTAAACTAAAGCAAGGTGGGAGAGGGAGGGAGTGAGAGGCAGGGGGGAGAAATGGCCCAAACAATGTATACACATATGAATAAATGAATTAAAAAAAATAAACTAAAGCAAAAGGGCTGGGGGAGTGGTTCAAGTCAGAGTGCTTGCTTAGCAAGTCCTAGGCCCTGAGTTCAAACCCCCTTCCACTAACATTTTTTTAAAAATTAAAAAAACATATTCACTACTAGACTATAGATTCTAATTTGCCTTCCTTCTATTAACTGTTTTCTTTCTTTTGCTTCCCAACAGGCTTAGTTCAGACAAAAAATGGTAAGATACTCTGACCAAGAGGCACTGTGGTAAGTAAAACATAAGTCTTTGAACAGAGTGTAAACACAATATAGAATCAGCATTTCATCTCAGATTTCTGAGTAGATGGTGATCTTATTAGAAGCCAAGTCTGTCCATCTATAAAACTTATACCCATATTATGCTTTGCCTTCTAGTCAATATTGTTAGGATGCTATGAAGTGTGTGTGTGTGTGTGTGTGTGTGTGTGTATGTACATGCAGATGACTGGAACACCCAAGATAACCAGGAACAGGTAGATAGTGCCCAACATGGTGGAGTCAGAAGTCAGAGGTCAGAGGTGGGGGAAGAGTTGAAGTATGAGCCAATCCCCCCCCTCACCATCCCACCCACACTTATACTGGAGCAAAGCAACCTCATTATCACATCCAGGCTTTCTGGTTATCCTTTCATAATATGTTCTGGCTGTGAAAGAATGGCTCATATTTGAACTACGCATTTAAAACAAACTCTAGCAGCTGCGTAGATAAGGATATACAACTTTTCTCGTTTTTACATCAGTAAATTTTATCCATTGACTGTATTCAGAGGACCCTCTTTGCTTTTACTGTTGTGGCCTTCCTAATCTTCATTTTCATGACTGCAATCTCCTTAGCTATTGTTTTAAGGCCCTAATTTTTAGGTTCCTCTTACTGAGTATCTTTTAAAATAGTCTCTTTGCTTTTGTATCTCTAAGTTTTAAATTTTGGTTTTTATTATCAACTTGACAAGACTCAAAGAGCTACAAATCGATTTAACTGATATGTTCTTTTCCTACATTCCAGAAGAAAATTTCAAATTCAAGTTTATAAAGCACAAGTTAGACTCATAAGTAATTCTAAAGAAAGTAGACATGATCTACTTTCATGTTTTCAAATCTCAAAATTTTTTCCCAAGTGCTCACTATAATATATTGACATATAAGAAAAGTGTCTTATGAGTCAGTTTTCCTGCCAGGCACTGGTGGCTCATGCCTGTAATCGTAGCTACTCAGAAGGCAGAGAATGAAGCCAGCCCAGGAAAATAGTTTCTGAGACCCTATCTAGAAAAAACCCTATCACAAAAAATTGGGCTGGCATACCCAAAAGAATGTGACTCAGGTTATTCCAGAGGCACCTGCACACCCATGTTTATTGCAGCACTATTCACAATAGCCAAGTTATAGAAACAGCCAAAATGCCCCACTAACGATGAATGGATTAAGAAAATGTGGTATTTATACACAATGGAATTTTATGCAGCCATGAAGAACGAAATGTTATCATTCGCAGGTAAATGGATGGAACTGGAGAACATTATTCTGAGTGAGGTTAGCCTGGTCCCAAAGACCAAAAATCATATGTTCTCCCTCATATGCGGACATTAGATCAAGGGCAAACATAACAAGGCGATTGGAGTTTGATCACATGATAAAGCGAGAGCACACAGGGAGGTATGAGGATAGGTAAGACACCCAAAAAACTAGATAGCATTTGTTGCCCTCAATGCAGAGAAACTAAAGCAGATACTTTAAAGCAACTGAGGCCAATAGGAGAAGGGGACCAGGAACTAGACAAAAGGTTAGTTCGAGAAGAATTAATTTAGAAGGTAACTCACATGCACAGGAAAGCAATGCAAGTCAACTCCCTGTATAGCTATCCTTATCTCAACTAGCAAAAACCCTTGGTCCTTCCTATTGCTGCTTATACTCTCTCTTCAACAAAATTAGAGATAAGGGCAAAATAGTTTCTGCCTGGTAGCAAGGGATTAGGAGGGGTAGGGGAGGGGGTGGGGGGTAAAGGAGGGGGGGAGGGGGAAGGGGGGAGAAATGACCCAAACATTGTATGCACATATGAATAAAAAAAGAAAATTGGGCTAGTGGAGTGGCTCAAGGTGAGGGCCCAAGTATCGTTAAAAAAAAAAAAAAAGTCAATTTTCAGTTTTCCTAGAAGTTTTCTTATGTTATATACACTTAGCAATATATAGTAAGGTTCTTAAGATAAAACAGACTCCAATGTATGTATGTATGTGTGTACACATATAACTATATGACACATTTATCTACATATAATTTTGAGGATATATTGTAGAATGAGGATTTGTATTTTTAAAAATCTGTTTATAATTTTAAAATTCAATATATGTGAGATCCTTCCAAAGAATATTTCTAGTTTCATCTTTGTATCTATTACATGCAGTTGGTACTCAATGATTTTTTTTTTAATTGAAGACTTTGGATAAGATATGGCACACAGCCTAATACAGAGAATAAGCCTAAAGGACATAACCTCTACAGAATGATCATTGGGATACCTCTTAAATTTGCAAGGTAAATTAAAAAATAATCCCAGTCAGTACTACTAGGATCGCTTCAAAGGATCTTTGGGGACCAAGAGACTTGGTTTCTAAGTTGTTGCAGACTTGACAATGACTAAGCAGTTGTGTATACTTAAAAATAATGGCATGAAAACAAAAACAAAAACAAAAGCCCTAAAGAGAAATTTAAAATATCTGAGAATAAGAAAAGTTGTTTTTGCATGTATTTTTTAAAGTGTGGAAAACACATGTTGCCATGTCTATTCTGACTTTAAATGTTGTGCAAATCTTGGACCTGGACAACAGGTATCCTCAAGTAACTCCATTTTCAAAATAACACACAGTAAAATTTATCTACAAAAACAAATCACAATTTAACAACTTTGCAATAAAATTTACCTGGCTGGAACTGGTAGTTTGGGGCAAAGAACAGAAGATTTTGAAGATGTAGTATATTCAGAAGGCTTCAGGTTGTAGCTGCATAGCGCTGAGCCTGTTGAAAGAAAAGTTCTGTGTTAGCTGGTGGAACAGAGTCTGAATAATCCTCTTACCGATTCTCTTTAATTTTAGATGTTAATACTAACATATACAGCTTTTAGACATTACAGAATTCATAAGAATCTGATTCGATCTATTTTATCAGTCCTCAATCGTTGAAAGTGATTCTTTTCTTAAATCACTGATAATTCAATATAATTTATTACAAATTTTAATTAATATTAAAGGTAACAACAAGTACTAGAACTACCTTCATTGAGTACCTGCCCTATATCAGGTTCTATGCAAGATGTATGAATAGTGACATCATTAGCTATAACTCCATGGGGCAAGTCTTGTGACGATTACTTTAGAGGAAGAACTAGAGGCTGAGAGATAAGGTAAGCAACCTGTCCAAAAATGCAGTTAGCCATGGAGCTGGGATTAGACACCACATCTCTTTGACTCCAAAGCCCATGCTCCTTTGCATGTTCTCTCATTCCTATACTTTCCATTACCAAATATTTTAAATACTGTACATAGCACCTACACTCTGCTAATGCAATACTTTTTTCTTATTAAGACTCCAGACTACAAATAAACTGAATAAACTGATAAAACTGATTCCAGGTTTTCCAAGTTTAAAGTTGCTTAAATTCAACCTTAGATTAGTTATACAAAGAATGATCTACTTTTCTGATTACATGGCTAATATATATGTAAATAATATTGAAAATCAGATGGATACAGTCCACCAAATCTAGAAGATATTATTTTCCTGACCTGCTAATTTTATAACAGCTACTGGAATGTTCTTTGCACAATAGATACTGCAATGTAAGTAAGTGAAGAGACCTAGCAGGCTCCAGCTCTGATTTTGCAGCATATCTTCAGAAACTGTTTATATTTGGTTAATTCAGATCCTTATGAGGTTTCTAATTTACACAAACTCTTAATTATTAAAAACAAACATAAGAGCTTCACATTTGTATTTTAGTCATAATGAACTTTTACAAGGTACTCCATGGAAAATACAACATGAGGCAAAAAGTGGCAGACCTCAACACTGAGTTAATTATGGAAAATGCAATGATCATATGAGAAGAAAATGGAAAGGAGTATAGAAAAATGAATATGTCTTGGTTTTTTTGGATAACATAATTGGGAGTGAAGTTATTTTACTTATATCTTTCCTGATCAATCAAAATTTCTGGAAAGTCACAAACAACCATTTAACATAGCAATGCTCCCTTTAAGCCAGCAAACCACCTGCTAAGTGTTTAAATGTGTAGCATATATTACAAATATAAGTAGCATATATTTTATGCAAAGATAATTCAAGTAATTTAACAATGCAAATATATTTTTAAAGAAATACTTGAAAGTTACATGGCACTGTTCTCCAAGCCTTTTCAGTTTTTGATAGATTCAATAGGAGACTAAGTTTAAAAAATTATTTTTGACAGTTCTTTTTCATTTTAATGAAAAAATTTCGAAAGTTAGGCATGTGGACTGGGGATGTAGCTTAGTGGTAGGGCACTTGTCTAGCAGGATTGAGGCCCTGGGTTTGATCCCTAGTACTGCAAAGAAAAAATTAAAAAGGGAAAAAGTTAAGCATTAATATTAAGTATTTAACTCTCCTGAAAGTATTGTCTCTCATGTTTGAAGATAATGCCACTAAATTCTATACATAGCAATTCTGGAGAAAACCTGACAGCAAGCAAACATTTTATATTAATCCCAAAATAACTGGAAGTCTTTCTTTAGAATTGCTTACGAAAAAAGAGCAACTGTGCCAATAACTCAGAGCACCCAATGTGATTGTCAATTTCCTGATCTGAATTGTCAACTTATTTCTTTCAGAGTCCAAGATGGAATCAATTTGCACAATATAAAAGGCATTAACTAAAGCACTTTGTGTTCCTGCTGCTAAAAACACTGCTTCATCTGAATTCAGTGAACACAATCTCTATCCCTGTTCCCCTTTCATTTAAAAAAGGAGGTCAGCAGGTGCAACAGGGTTCAATTTTATGAATACTTTCCCAGGATAATATTCAATGAAAGGATAATAGCCTTATCTCTGATGGTCTTCTGGGACACGGGCCAGTACTAAGTAATCCTATACTAAATAGATTAAAGGAAAAAGATCTTGACAATGTGTTAGCAGTAACAATCCTGTAAACTTTACATACACTGCTTTCTGTTTTAAAGAGTTGATGGACAGAGAGGCTCAATGAAGGGTATCAAAGCAATACTGCAAAGGCACATATTTTACAGTTGTTTTTCTTTTCATGTCTATTAGTGAATGTACTTTCAGTGGGCATTTTAAAAGTAGCATCTGTTTGTTTTGTTTTTTTTACAGTGGAAGCACAAACAAGACTTAGCACAACAGGTTTGGACATAAAGAGCAAGACATACAGTTTTCCTTCAAATTCAAAAGTAGGCAAGAACCGTATGTATTTGAGTAAGGAAAAGTCAGAAACTAAAAACAGAAGCTTATCTAAAGCACACCAGAGGCAATCCATACAACTCAGCCAGTGTTATTCAAAAGCTATCAAAATGAGTGATCTTAGGAACCTAAGTTGAATATACAAACATTTATCATGGTAAATGGTTGCTAAAGCCCCTAGAATGTTTAACTATTATGATTTTTCAAATGTCTGATAATATTTAATTACTTATTCTTTAGCTCAATATCAAGTTATATCAACTCTCCTAAGACGTTCCTTGCATTGCCACACCCCAAAAGTTAGGGAGGGGAAAAAAATTAAGACTTCCAAGGCCTTACAAGCAACCACTGCCATACTTAGAAAAAAAATTCTATATTCTTTAAGCCACTGTGTTTCTTTTGTGTCATTCCAATAATCACAAATCAGATAAATTCCAGTAAGTTCTATGCTAAAATAAATTTTAAAATATATTCTATAGATACCTCAAAAACAGTATATATGAACAAAAATTATTTCCATCATCCACTCTCATTCTGTATGTTTTCTATCCAGGTTAATAGTTCTACCATTCATGAAATCTCCCTGGTGAAATCTGTGAGTCATCTACATTGTCATCCTTATCCACCATCTTCCTGTGCCATTCCAGACAATCAAGATACAAAGTTCTGTCAGTCAGACCTTCCTATGTAATCTTAGACCTACTGGATCAGTTTAAATCTTCTCCCAAAGGGTTTCTTGTCTCCACTCTGCACATGACTCTCATGATGGTCTTTGTAAAATGCAGATTCCTAGCCTCAGGATGAAGTCCACACTCCTTGGATTCAAGGCCCTCTTAAAGCAGATTCCACCTAAAACTACTTAAAACTTCAGCCTCATCTCAACACAATGAACTACCTACAATCAATTTTTGCTGTTTATAGCTTCCAGGCTTTCACATGATATTCCATTTGTGCTGTCCTTTGTAGACTAGAATTTAAGTAAGTACTGAAGTTTGAGCAGAACTTCCACAAACTACTCAGACTTCTATGACCCATCCAATGAAGTTATTCGCTTAGTTCTGTTAAAAAACAGTATACTATTTGTAACTTTATTTTAATCTGCTATCTCCATTCTTAGAATACAAACTCTGATAATTGCAACCTTAGGCTTTTATTTAAATATCTAAAATCCCTTTCCTAGTATACAGGTGCACCCAGAAGCTTTCTGTTGAATAAAAAAGATCCTAATTGGGAAAAAATGAAGTAATTTATTCATTTCTTATATCTTAGAGTTACATAGTATATGGAATGTTCATATGCTTTTCACTATTCACTACACAACACACTATCTAAAACATGGTTTCTCGATCTTGTGTCATGACTATTATCCCAGAGAATTCTTGGTTCTGGAAAGCAGTCTGATGATTTCAAAATGTTTAGCAGCACCCCTGGGCTCTACCCACTAGATTCCAGGAGCTAAGCTCTTGCCCAGCTGTGACAACCAACAAGTCTCCAAACTGCCAAATGTCCTCAGGAAGTCACAAACGCCCTTAGTTGTCAAACAATGGCCTAAAACACCACGTACCTTGAAACAAAGTCACAAAGCAAATAGTTGGCATGTTTAAGGCTTTTTTCTTTTTTGTTTAAATCTGTGTTTACCTTCAAGTGGTATTTGTATGATTCATTAAAATTGAGTGAACACAGGCTCTTAAAATATGATTTAGAAATCTGCAATGGACAGATAAAAATTTCTTTCAATGCAGAACATTTTTCATTATGAAAAATTGCCTTGTGAAGTTCAATGAATTTAACCTTTCTCTAATTAGGAAATCACTATATATTTATATGCTGGAAGAATGGTATATATTTTTCCAGTCTGAATTTCTAGTAACCCATGAAAAGTATGGCCATGTTTGCAAATCACAAAAAGCACTTGTCTACAGAAATTAGCCAGCTGGGGGTATATCAACACTTGTCAGCCACTAGGGGTACATATCAGGTACACAATAAAAATTCTGTTATGTGAACTAATTTTGAACATCTATGTACAAGCCTTCTACTGGGTGTTGTGAAGGACAGGAGAAATCTGACTCTAGTGTAAGCTTTTTTAATGTGGGGAATAAATTTTCTATCTCTGGTACATACTTAATGGATAATAGTATTTGGTGAATGAAAGAACTGGTTTAGGTTATATTAGCAAATGTAAAATTTTCTTTTTCCTTTCTAAATAAACATCCTAGTTGTTCTCTGACTTGGAGGCACTTAAGTCACTTTGCTAGAGTTGATCATTTTGTTCATTTATAAATGTTATCAAGTCCAGCCTTTTGATTCACTGTGCCAAAACAAAATCCATACTAATTCTGTGGTTTAAGTTATATTGTTCCTAAATGAATTGTGACGCTACTGATCAAAACCTAATAACCAGATAAAGATAATCAAGAGGCTTTTTAGCATTCATGAGTAAGAATTTTTATCTGAATGGGTCACATAATGTGCAAAATTTTAAAAGACAAGACAATAATCATTAGGAAAGCACAGAGTTGCACAGCTCTACTCTGCTCAAAATGTGAACATGATCCCAATGGAAG